CAAGAAAATCAGTAGCCTTCCTCTACTCAAAAGATAAACTGGCTGAGAAAGAAATTATGGAAATGACACCCTTCACAATAGTCACAGATAATATAAAATACCTTGGTGTGAATCTAACCAAGTAAGTAAAAGACCTGTATGACAAGAACTTCAAGCCCCTGAAGAAAGAAATCGAAGCAGATCTCAGAAGATGGAAAGATCTCCAATGCTCATGGATTGGAAGGATTGATATAGTAAAAATGGCTATCTTGCCAAAAGTAATCTACAGATTCAATGCAATCTCCTTCAAAATTTCCACTCAACTCTTCACAGAGATAGAAAGAGGAATCTTAAAATTCATTTGGAATAACAAAAAACTCAGGATAGCAAAAACTACTCTCACCAATAAAAGAACTTCTCAGGGAATCACCATTCCTGACTTCAAGCTGTACTACAAAGCAATAGTGATAAAAACTGCATGGTATTGGAACAGAGACAGACAAGAGGATCAATGGAATACAATAGAAGACCCAGAAATGAACCCCCATACCTATGGTCACTTGATCTTTGACAAAGGAGCTAAAACCATCCAGTGGAAAAAAGACAGCATTTTCAACAAATGGTGCTGGTCCAACTGGAGGTCAGCATGTAGAAGAATGCAAATTGATCCAAACTTATCTCCTTGTACAAAGCTCAACTCCAAGTGGATCAAGGACCTTCATATAAAACCAGCTACACTGAAACTAGTAAAAGAGAAATTGGGGGAAGTCTTGAACACATAGGCACAGGAGAAAAGTTCCTGAACAAAACACCAATGACTTGTGCTCTAAGACCAAGAATTGACAAATGGGACCTCATAAAACAGCAAAGCTTCTGTAAAACAAAGGACACAGTCAATAGGACAAAGCGGCAACCAACAGATTGGGAAAGATCTTCACCAACCCTACATCTGATAAAGGGCTAATATCGAAGGTATACAAAGAACTGAAGAAATTAGACTCTAGACAATCAAAGAACCTTATTTTAAAAATGGAGCACAGAGCTGAACAAAGAATTCTCAACTGAGGAAGCTCGAATGGTTCAGAAGCACCTAAAGAAGTGTTCAGCATCCCTAGTCATCAGGGAAATGCAAATGAAAACAACACTAAGATTCCATCTCACACCAGTCAGAATGGTTAAGATCAAAAACACAGGTGACAGCAGATATTGGCGAAGATGTGGAGAAAGAGGAACACTCCTCCACTGTTGGTGGGATTGTAAGCTGGTACAACCACTATGGAAAGCAGTCTGGCGGTACCTCAGAAAATTGAACACAGTGTTACCTGAGGACCCACCTATACCACTCTTGGGCATATACCCAAAAGATGTTTCAACATACAACAGGGACACATGCAGCCTTATTTATAATAGCCAGAAGTTGGAAAGAACCCAGATGTCCTTCAACAGAAGAATGGATGCAGAAAATATGGTACATTTATACAATGGAGTACTACTCAGCTATTAAAAACAATGAGTTCATGAAATTCTTAGGCAAATGGATGGAGCTGGAAAATATCATCTTGAGTGAGGTGACCCAATCTCAAAAGAACATACCTGGTATGCACTCACTGATAAGTGGATATTATCCTAAAAGCTCACTATACCTAAGACACGATGCATAGGCCACATGAAACTCAGGAAGAAGAAGGAAGACCAAAGTATGGGTGCTTTGGTCCTTTTTTAGAAGAGTATCAAAAGATTCAGCCAGAGCTCCCAAAGTCTAAACCTCCAGCCTAAGAGCACAAAGGGAAAGACTCATGTCTGCACCTGTATAGGTAATTGAGGGTGGCCATGTCAGACATCAGTGGAAGTGAAGGGCCATGGTTCCCAAAAGTTTGGATTCTCTAGTGTTGGGGAATTTGAGACCAGGGAAATGGGACTGGGTGGATGTTTGGAGTACACCCTCATAAAAAATAGGAGGAGGGGGGTATGAGATAAGGGGTTATGGGGGAGAATGGAAGAAGAGATAACATTGAAAGGTAAATACATAAAATATCCAATTTTTAAAAAAAAAACAGATAAAGGGTCTGAAAAAAAAGAGTTTAATTATTTCAAATTATTTTCAAAAGTTTCTAGGAGATGCTAATTGGCTAAGATCTTATTTTAAGTTCTCCACAAAAGAATTTAAGTCTCTGTTTAATATTCTCAAGAGAGATGTAAATCCTAATTTCCCTCAACAACTAATTGACAAAAGAGAAGTAATCTCACAAAAAGTAGAAGAAGCTATTATTAATCGATAAATTATATAGTCTGATTACTTGACAGCTGTTGCTATAACAGTCCTTTGATAAAAGAGATTATTAATACAGATTTATATTTCTTTAAATAATGTCTTCATGACTTTCTGAGTGTGGAAGGAGTGGCTGTTGGCACTTCTGCCCTGATTTTATAAGAACTCTGAAAAATTGGCTTTAAAAACAAAAGAGGAGGAACAGTAGCCCCCAGAAGGAGTTCCCCTGAAATACTCTCCATCATGCCTTGTTCACTTTTAACTCTCTAAAACTGAAAGCTCATGGCAAATCTGCTGCAGACTGCCTCTGGCATCACTGAGACCAATAAAAACTATGCCACAGCTATGGGGAAGGACCCTCTTACCCTTAAAGGGAATGGCCCAGACCCAGTTCCCTTATGGGGCCGAGGATCGATATGCCTGTTTGATACCACAGAAGGCACAGCTAACAGGCTACCAAAAAGATTAATGAAATAAATAGATACCCCCCCAAAGCCAGGCCCAACCATAAATAAAATGAATAATAATTGACATCCAGGGAAGGGAAATCTCCCTGAGAATTCCCTTCTTTTTCCTTTCCAGGTAAAAATGAATCACCCATTATATCTGCTGTTAGAAGTTCTAATCCAGGTGCTGACCTCCAAACTTATACTACTCAGATCTTCGACAGGCCATTGACAAGAACATCAAACAGCTAGAGATTGACATCACTAATCTGAAGAAATCCCTCGTTTTGCTGTCTAAAGAGACCTCCAAAAATCTCAAAGATCCTAATTGGACTTGATTTACTCTATTATAATAGAAAAGGCTGTGTACAGCTCTTGACTGTGTACAGCCCTTAAAGAAGAATGTTTACATTCTTTACATAAACAAGACAGGGATGGTTAAAGAGAGCATGAAAAAGGTCAGAGAAAGCCCTGAGAAAAGTCAGAGAGAGAAAGAGAAAGATGAGTGCTGGTACAAGAATTGGTTTTCAGCCTCTCCAAGGTTGTCAACACTACTTCATTCCATCTTGAGACCATTAATTGGGTTACTTTTGCTTATTTCATCTGGTCCCTGGGCCTCAAATAGACTGACTAACTCTGTGAAACAACAGATAAATAATTGGGTAGCAAAACATATTCAGACACATTATCATAAATTAGCTATGGAGGACCACGAGACTCAAGATGAAGTTGTTACTCTATCCAGGGTGTTCCCAAAACACATCTCTACCCAACCTAAAAGTGGGGACTTCTCTCCCTAGACCAAGCAGAGAGGGGCCACCCAGAACCCCTTCTGACTGGCGGTCTGAATTCTTACTTAGGCTGAGAGGCTAAGTATTGCAAGGGAATATAAATAAAACTTAAAAATATCTCTCTGGGTTCCCTGAAGGACAAGCCTGACTGCATAGGGGTTGATGTCAAAAGTATCCCCTCTCCAGGAAAAAGACATCAGGATGGGTATGGCCCTCATGCCTCACTGGACAACGACAGGGGGACTGGAGCCATTACAAGGTCCCCTTCAATTACTGGAGGTCAGTCCTCTATCCCCACCTTCGCAAGATTAGAACCACCACAGCCCTTCTATACTTAGAAAAGGGAGGAGATGTCAGGGGCACTCCTGCTTATACACTGAAGGCCTAAAATCAGCCATAGGCCTAAAATCAGCAATAGGCCTGTCATACATGTATTCTAACACAAAATCTTGGGTCTCTATGGAAAAACATTGAAACAGATGGCTGTAAGCTATTGTAAACAGGGAGCTTTTGTGGAAATTTACCAGCCTGAGTAGTCATAGACCTTGTAAATAGGTAGCCTTGGCAGATAATGCCAACTTAGATAAGGACAAATGAATCATAGGCAAAGTCATAGCCACCTGTCCCCTCAAATTTCACCCAGCCGATACCCTGTCCTGAAAGAAATCTGTATTCCCCCCTGAACACCCATGCTCCAGTGTCATCCCCTTCCCCACGTCCTGCCTTTTTGTGTTTATAACCTCTGTGTGAATGAGTAAAAACTATAATTTGAAAATAAATAAATAAATAAATATAAAAAAAAGAAGAAAAGTCAACCTACATGTGGCAACTCAGATAGACATGGTAAAGGAACAATTCTGTGGTTTACATAGCTGCACAAATAAATACTCTCGGAGTTAAACACCTGTGTACACACACACTACCAAACACAGGCATGTAAAATTGATAGTGAATAAAATGTATGAGTCATACAAATTTCCTGCCATAAAAATATACTAAATTTACCATTATGCAAAACATCACCGTTGAGTCAAAGAATATGAAGAACACGTGGATGCTTGTTGTAGATTTGGGCCAATGCCCTATGAAATTATAATTATTCAAAGGTAAAAGAAAAACTACCAAATAAATGGGGCTCTAAAAAGATGGCTCAGTAAGAAAGAATACTTGCTGTATAAACATCAGAAACTGAGTTCTAATATAAAACACATAATTTAAAAGCTGGACATGGCTCTGAGCACCTGTAATCCCAGCTCTTTGAGGAGTAGAAACAGGAAAAGTGGCAGTACTTGCTGACTAACAACTTAGCTCCAGGTTCCATCCAAGACCCTGTCTCAAGGGAATATGGAGAATGATAGAGCAGGACTATGAATGTTAGGTTCAATATTCTCCCCTGGCCTATATGTGTGTAGGTATGTGTATCTGCACATGTGCATATACCACATGAACATAAGCACATGTCAAAAAGACCCTAATAAGTAAACAAAGGTGAAGGTATTTTACATAGATGCCTACCCGCCGGTTTGTGAAGGTAGAGTAACATTCCTTCACAAGCACTGTTTTGATTATGTCTGGATCCGCGACAGCCAGCAAAGGCTGTTGACCTTCATACAACCTGCATTGGCAAAACAGAGAAGATTAAACCCAACCAGATGGATTGTATAGCTGGAAGCATGCCCAGGAACACAGAATCTGATCCGGACCTGACATGATCCATATTTTAGTTATACAACAACATGCTTAATTACACAGCAACATGAACACGTAGTTCAAGTCAGGGATTCTGACTCCAGATCACTGCCATCTTGTGAAATGAAGTGTAATATACGTCATGCAGGGAAGAGGCAAACACAAAAAAGTTCTACAATGAGATGAAAATTAGAATTAAATTGGAACATTTGTCCAATTGTCCCAGTTGGTGCATACATGAATATTGCCTGTATACAATGCTTTTCATACTTTTGTGTGATCAAAATATTACATTACCAAAAAGAACATTGAGTCAATAGAAAACTGAAGGTGAGAAATTTAAGTGCAAATGGATGAGCTGAAGGCTATCCAGTGCTGTGTGCTCTGAGCAGGATTACAAGGTCTTGTGGGCTGTGTTTACTCAGCAAATCCTGTGGCCACCCCTTAGTTGTCTAAAGATGTGTGAGAGAAGTTAAAGAGGAATGAAGAGGCCACACTTCCCCCATGTGCATAACACAGAGCACAATACTGGCACATCTTACAATGTTCTCAACCAACTTCTAGTGGGCCTGAAATGGAATAATTCATTAGAATTGTGTTGATTAAGTATGAGTAACAGTTTCTCCAGAAGGAAAAAAGCAAAGAAGAAAGTAGCACAGCTTAAATGTTTCCTGTTAATAATTACTATTATTAAAAATAGATAATAAACATTTTTACAGCAGTTAGCCAAGTTCCAAGATCAAAAACTCCTTTAGTCTACAGGAAACATGGTCCTGTGACTATGTCCCACACTTACTGTAAAGACTTAGTATTATGAGGGGGCTGAGGAGATGACTCCGTGGTTAAGATCATGGTTGTGCTTCCAGAGGTCCTGGGTTTGATTCCTAGAGCCCACATGGAGGTTCACAACTATCTGTCACTCCAGTTCCAATGGATCTGATACTTGGCCTCTAAGGCAATGCATGCATGCATGCACCTAGTATACAGACATGTATGCAGGTAAGACACTCATACACATAAAATGAAAATAAATAAAATTTTAAAGTCAGTATCATGAGCTGGATATGGTGGTGTATGCATCTCATTATGCCTACCACCTAACATATTATAAGTCCAGCCTTCAAGAAGTAGAGGCGTAATGATCAGGAGTTCAAAGCCAGCTCCAACTATACAGAGAGATTATCCCCACCCACCCCCAGGACATACTTAAACAGCTAATAACAAGCAAGACTGTCTTGGGTTACATAAGACTCTGACTCCAGGACAAATAAGACAGAAAGAGTCAGCAGAGAACATACTCATGCATATTTCTACTGAGCACATTATGAGACTTTTGAATGAAAGAAAAAATACATATATTTTTAGATGGATTTTTAAAACATACCTGTTTTCAATATTTTGTGATAACTCACATTCTTTCTTTAAAGCACATATTAGAGTCAATTTTTAAATAAATTTGGCTCTAAAGTCCAAATAAATAAATATGAGATACAGAGAGACATATAATTAAAGGTCTCAGGTGATTTGTTATATGTTATTAGAGGGGTTTACAGGAGAGAACATTGGAAGAGTGGAATATCTAGACACTGGACTAAAATGCAAGTGAATCATTCCAAAACCATCAAGTCCAGGAGAAAATAAAAACATGCAACTTTTTAACCAAATTCCACCTGTTAATCATGACACTGGAAGACATCTGTGGTCTTTGGTAGGAAAAGCCTCCAAAGATCTTTATAATACATAGCTTCCACTCAAGACCCTCTGGCTTTTGTAAATGTTTCAAATCTACCCCAGTGGAAGTTGCTATAATACTTACCCCCACATTTTCCCATACTTTTTATGACATTGTATGTCACATTCCCAGAAGCCCTGGAAAGGTAAAGAAAATGAAAATCCATGACTATTTTAAGCATAATGTTCTTATCTCTAATTGGGGCACAAATGGTTTGACTCTTAGAAAATCAGGCTTACTGTCCCTAAATGGCAGTGAGAGAGAGACATTCTAATTCATAAGTTTTTGAGTAGAATGGAGGTTAAGTTCTAGAGATATTTGAAATGGAGTTATTCAAGTTTCCTGAATTTTCTGTCAACATTCCACATGCACAAAAACCTCACCCTTGGTTGTGAATAATTGCCAACTGCATTGCACATGCTCAGCCATTCACTCTTCACTATGAATAATAGCTAACACCCTGCCTCTCTCTAAAGCTTTTGCTTCTCTACACATCATCCTTAAAACCCTCAAACTCTCTGAATTGTTCCTGCCATAAGCACAGGGGGTTAAACAGAAGCCAAGGGAAATCCAATAAGGTCCATTTATCTCCTTATTCAACCTCTTTTCCATTTATCTCATGACCTCTCCCTAGAGGACTAATAGCTTGAGGACACTGAAGAAACCACTGGCCTCTTTTCATTTAGAGCATTTAGTCTCAGGTAAGTTG